GCCCATGGCAATAAATCGCCATGCATGACAGACCAAGAGACTGCATTCCCCTGCTGCTACATCTACATTTTTCTGAGGCTGCAAGGTGCCATAACGTCTTCGTTACGCGTTGCTCGGGTAGAATAAAAGTCGGGTAGCAGACAAATCGACACATGCACCCTAGGCAACACATGAAGGACCATGGAAGCTCTGGATGTCGACAGCCCACCTTTGCGAGTACCGCCTGACGCGGAGACAGGGCGTCTACGAGCTCTAAGTTTTCGTAACGGCAGTAGCAATCAATTAAGCGTCGCTGTAGCCCAGCAGCTTGCTGGAATTTGTCAGTGAAAACGTGCTACCTACGTACCACGATACTGCCATATGTAAATGCAAGCTTTAAGGCTGGATGAAACGTCATGTGCAAGCAAACACTCGACATACTTTGAACATGGACGTTGACGCCCAAAAGTGTCTAGAAAAACACTAAAATGAATACAGAAGCAAATCTGCTTTGCACGGTCTCACTATCTTTTTTGAGTCCATTCGCGGGATCTCACTATCGTTTTGAGTCCATTCGCCGGCCTTTGCTATGGACTTTTCGGTCCATCTATCACAACTTCTGACCGCAGCCTATCGAATCGCCCATGTAGTTTGCCTTGCTCTCTTCACAGACGCTTCACATACTGAGTATGCAGATTGAAAATTTGCTAACATTTTCCATGCCCACAAAGCAGACGGACATAGATATATCAGTTTATCCAGCAGCAAAAAGCTGTTCAAACGACTCATCCATACGGTCTATGCAGCAGCAACCAACAGTGACGATCTCGAAAAATTTTTATTGGCCAAAAGCTCTTTGAAAGGGCGCTTGTAGCAAAATAAACGGGAGGCATGGAGCTGCAAAGAAATGCAAGAGAGTCGTCTAAAAGGACAGATCGAATAGCTGGCTGCAGCGGTTAGAACTTCCATGTCCTGGCTTCCTATTTTCAAGTGAATCCCAGAAATGTTTCTAGCCAGCCACAATGTGAAAAATGTTCCGTTGATCGAAACTAAATCTGAATTCATTTGGACACTACTCCGTTGCTGCGCAATTTCTGACGTGGGTTCATCAAGCCACAAAAGGGCACGGGACATCCAGACAACGCTGCTGGCAAACAAAATTAAATGGCCAGGGCGCCTGTGGCTTTATCGTTCTCTGCATGTGTTGCTGCTGCAAACGGACTGATGCTTTCCCGCCAACAACTTAAGCAAGTGCACTGCTCACAAGATTTGGCAAGCACACGAATTCCAAAAGTGTATTCCCTTCCCCAGAGTGATGTATGGCAAGAGCTGCTAGGTCCCAGGCAGTTCCCGACGTTGCTCACATTCAAGGTTGTTGTCAGGCCAGAATTCAATGCAATATATTGTCAATCCCTTCATGCAAAGAAGAATAACTTCATGTGTATCATTCTAATTCAAACATTTCAAATCCGAACGCCAAAAAGACGAAGACAGTAGGAAATCACGCATGTTAAGCTGTGGACAACTCTTGGATTACTCCTTTTACGAAAAGCTTACGAGCTTTGCCCCAAAGCCGCAGAAGCGCTCAAATCAACCAGGTATGAGAACTTGGCCCTGCCCAAATACTGTTGGTGAGCAAATGCCAACAGCCACCGGCCAGCCAAACTGCGACACAGCCTTTCACACTTGTCGACATTTGGAACGAAACTAAACGCACTGCCTTTTGGTGAAGTACGTGATAATTCCACTCTAGAAATATTTGCCGTCATTTTTCCAGGACCAGGCAACCACACAAGCTTTGCTCCTCTCCGAGCCATTACAACCCAGTTCCCCTACATAAACTATTTTGAATGCGCATAAACTGAAATATGAACTATTTTACTAACCAATTTGTCAATTCTATTTAACAAATCAACTGCACTGCTAACATCGATCGTCATGCAGACGAGAAATGGCTCACCTCTACTTAAAGGCGTACTTTGCTGCAGGCAGCAAGCAATGTTCGACGCACCAACACGCAAACAGACGACGCGCCGAGTCCACATCAAACCTGCGTTTCTGCATATTCACCCAACGAATTGGAGCCTTCTAGTGCTCAACGAACTGAGTGTGACGGAACGCATGCGCCTGCAAAGCAAGCAAGGTCACGCAGCTACTAATCCGCCTCTAGAGTGTTGCATGGTGCCTAAAAGTTCACTTGATGCGCTGCATTCATCCAGTTAAGAATGTCAAAGTTCCAAATAAGAGTGTAGTTTGTGCAAGCCCCCACCTGCAGTCTGTAGAAGAGCAAAGCCAAATTCTTTGCCCGCGCAACTGCTGCAAATACCAAAGCAGAAATTCCGGCTCCAGCTTTTCCAACTGTTCAAACTAAGAATTTCACCAGTCTACGCAACATAGGCCTGCTTTGTGCTTAATCGGGCTAATCCACCGCACTGTCTGAGTGATATCATGTGACGAAGACAACAATAGCGCGCTTCTCTTCATGCCCCTGGCCATCTCGTCTGGTGTCCTCACGTACGCCACCAACACATCCTGGCGAAGGATTGGACACAGCGTGCTGAACGGATAAAACACATGCAAATGAAAATCGAAATGCTCCTAGACGTCAGCTGAGTCGAGTAACGAATACATTTTACTCGATCTTGCTACTCCGCATGCCCTATGCACCCCCAGGTGCAACCACTCCAAAATTAAGTTAAGCAATTAATGGCGTTACTCGATTTCCGCAAATCACCTGCTCGCTTATATTGCACACTCCCTACACACATCTTGAGGAGCCTTTCGTAAGCCCTTGTGACCATGTAGTTCTTCATAGTTCACGTGCATCCATTTTTACGTATCACTATACTACACCCCCCATAAACAGAATCAGATAGACTTCCCACAAAATGCAACCAGTCACATTTTTACTGCCTATCCGTTCTCACTGTCTGAGCGATCAATCAAAGCCGAAACACGAGAAGAACAAACCGTGCATTCGGCCCCGTTCACTGCGCTATTTACGCGATGTGTGGATACCCCACGCAAAAAAACGGTCCACTATTGCGCTCGACGTCTAGCGCGCTTTTACAGGCCCCAATGCATTGTGATGGCAACAGATCTACAACAACCATCGCCATCTGGATTGTTCTGCTGCAAACTAATTACTACGCATACCGTCTAGAGAGAAGGTTCCATGTGTGTGGGACGTAACGTTATCAAACTTTTATCCAGCACAGAGCTCCTCCATTATATCACTTGCTTTGGCCACTACTGCATCCGCGACCCCATTTATTCTACTTCTACGCATACACACTAGATCCCACTGTTCACCGAATGCCACAAGCGCCCAACACACTGCCCGTCAGCCTAGCTACAACGCAACTCGCAAGCTAATTTCTCAACGTAGCGAATGCATCTGCAAGATCTATCTCAACTTCGAGTGAAGTGAGACGCTTCACACACTCATGAGTCTCATTTTGTGACTGTGCGTCGGCGATATCATCTCATCGCCCTCGCTAGCATGAGCCTCGTATCATTTTCAAACATGTTTTATTTGCGCGTCAAATACAAAAAATTTGGACTTGCTCTCTCCAAAGCTTCCTCAGTGGCTATTCGTCTCGCTCCACACACACCCTTCCTGGCGACTCCTGCGGGTCCACCACTCACAAACACGTGCTTCACACCTTCTCCCAACGCTTTCCAGTGCCGAAGCTAACCAATCTCACCTCAAGCAAAATTACAGGGAAAACAGTTGCCACGCGAACAGTCTATTGGCAGTAGCTAATAACCTCCTCCGGTCCAGTGCTGCCAGTACTCACGCAGTTCCGTACGCGCGTTAACAACTCACTGCCGGCGCACACGGCTCGTTTCACACCCCGCATGTCCCCTCTGCCCTTTCCCCAACTTCTACAGTCACC